ACCATAATGATTCTATGATTCTAAAAGTGCAGTTTTCTGTATTTCCAGGGATCATCCATCTGAGATTCAGACCGGTGGAAATGCCACCGTGTGGAGCCACCCTGCAGCACTGAGGGAGCCTCTCCCTGCCCTTGACAAGGTTTGTGGTGAAGGTGAAGGCAGAAAAGGGAGGGAAAAAAATCCTATTTTCCTTAGAGAGTGAAGCTGGGGGACATTTGTAGGGATCAAAAATCCTTTAGCAGCTCTCTAAGAGTGATGGAAAGAGGGTGGATGCAACCTCTGCCTTTCGGATGGAGAGTGTAGGGCTGACAGCCCGGCATAGGCAGGTGTGCCCATGGCTTTGCCCACGGAGAGGACTTGGCCAACCCATGACCCAGCCAGGTTTTCAATCACAGGCAAGTGGGAATTCTTGCTCAGGGTCCGTACAGGAGCATGTCTCTGCAACGCAGGAGGTAGGAGGGGGCCAGGCAGCCAAAAATCCCCATGGCTTTATGTTCAGAAAGGTGGGACTGGCCAGCAGCCCTTGGCGGCCACCCAGGCCACAGGGGGACCAACTTGCCTCTGGCCCTCCAGCCACCCCCTGCCTGCGGCAAGCCCCGGCTCTGCCACTTTTGCCACTTTACCAAATTTTGCAACTCGGATGAGCAACATCGACTCCTCCTATATATTAAACATCCTTTCTAAACGCCGAGCGAACTACAAAATACTGGTGAAAATCTTTCTCGGCAGGGAAATCTCAGCTGCACCAGGGGCTGCTGAGCCGGACGGAGCAGGAGAAGGACGGGTGCTCTCAGGCGATGTAGGAGTGACACAGACACACAGGCAGGAAGACAAATTTGCTGTTTATTGCTGGTGTTAACATTGATGGGGGAATCAAACGTAACCAAGGCAAACCCCCCTGCGGTGCGTTTCCCAGGGGCCAGGGCAGCGGCTCCACAGGGCACAGTGAAGACGGTGGCATCTGCAACAGAACGGGAGAGGAAGATGAGGGAGCGGGGACACTGTGTGTGTGTGTGTTTGTCCCCAGTCCTGTCCCCCTCCCCATCCTGCACAAGGTTCCCCGCAACATTTTGCTGCAGGATAGGTCATTCTTATCACCTCTCCGCAGCCATTTCCCCACCGCACCAATCCTGTGTCTTACGTCAGGCGTTGGCAGAAGGACAAATTCCGGGAAATCACTCGTCTACGTGCGGCGGTGGCTTTATAAACCAGTACCAGCACGTCCCGCTTACCAGAATATGCCCAGTGCCTTCCTCCGCTTGATGTCTCTCTTTATTTGGCAAACAGAGCACACGGGGCACCACATGGTGACACAGAAGTCAGAGCAAATGGACCCCTGTTAGGAAGAAATTGGTTAGGGACGTAGGCTTCCCAAGAGCCGTATTTTGGTCAAGAAAAGGTTAATCATATTCCACATTGTGGGCTCTTTGTTTCCTGGCTGGCTGCAGCATCCTGAGCAGCAGACACTAAAAATGGGGGCTGGGGAAAATCCCCCCCCCAGGGGAAAGGAAGGAGGGAGCCCTTTCTGCAGGCACCTACTTATCTTTTGGCTTCTGAGGTTAAAATTGGGGAGGAAAAACCAGAGAGAAAGGGACAATTTGCACAAACCGGACCCAGGTTTGCACTGGGGATGGCAGTAACCCCCAGTGGGAAGAAACCATTTCACATGTGTAGTTTATGCCAGTGCCCACCTTTCTCCTGCATCTGCTTACGGATCTTTATCCGTGCAACTGCCTTTATTTTTTTAGTCTGCCCACTGTTATCTCAAGTCCTTCCCATCTTTCAAAGCCTGGGGATGGTGTGGGGGAGCAGCAGCCGAGGCTCTGCGAGCCGGCAGCTGAAGGCAGGATGAAGGGTGCTGGGAAGGAGCTGTGTTTGATTAACGTGCATTGTTAGACCCAGCCCAGGGATCTGGGCGTCCCAACCCTTGCCCTGTGCTCCTGGCATCACGCAGGATACGAAAATGACAAAAACAAAATGGGTGAGAGCAGAGGGTTGCTGCCCCCTGCTCATCCCTAATGTGCAGAGAGAGGGACCTCAGGGACACCTCCTCTTTCAGCCTCCCAGTACGGTGATAGGATGGGTTAATCACTGACCGTGATGTTGTATCTGGTGCGGTACAGGGTCCTCATGGCCACACTGGTCCCACATAGGCAGGACTCGCCCCTGTCTCCGGCCACTTGGCAGGGGAAGCAGAACATCCCGCAGCAAACTGGGAAGGGGAGAAACGCAGCGGTGGGTGAGGCTCTGCCTGCCCCCCTGGCATCGCCAGCATCGGGAGAGGAACTGGGAGACCCAGGCTACATGGTTGTAGCTATCACACCACCGATCCAAGTGACAGGGGTGAGAAAAATATCCCGAGAGGGCATGGGACTGACGGTGGCACATCCCTGCCGACAGCTGAGAGACGTGACTGCCCGAGGTACTCACAGATGTCGCAGTCGGTGCAGCAGTCCATCAGCCCTGTCTGCCACTTGCTGCTCGCGACAACGGGCATGGCCCTGCTGTACTGCGGCTGGACCACCACGACGGACGGAGGAGCCATTCCTAATTCCTCTTCTGAAAGAGACGGGAGGGGAACGGGACAGTTTGTGAAAAAACCCGCGGTCAGTCTGATCTCCCAACTGAGTTGGTCACCATCGCTCTTCAGCACCTCACTGTCGCTGGAGACGACAAAGCGTAACCATACCTTCCCTGCATTTGTGTCTTTTCAAGGTTTTTGCATTTTCTCCTATTTTATCCAGCCTTCAAAACAGCGTCAGGCCATTGATGTTCCCCACTCCACCCCAGAAAAGCTTCGTTAGTGCTTAGACCCAGTTCACCAACTTGTGCCAAGCGGGGCTGGGCAGCACACCTAAGGCTAAAGGCAGCGACTCGGGCATGGGGCTGGTTGAGCTTGGCATATTTTACACAAGCTTGCTTAGGCCTGGGTACAAAGCACGCAGGAAGCAGTGGTGGTCTGGCATCGCCTTGTAATGAAGCCGGGCTCCACCCAAGAGAGATGCTGTAAAAAACAAGTATCTCTGGTTTCTTGTTGTGGAGAGCCAGAAAGGCAGAAACCCAACGCTACGTCCCGCCTGAACCCCAGTCCTTGGCTTCCTGCGGTTGAGCAAACAAGTAAACCTTGAAAACCAGGAAGCTTCAGGTCAAAAAAACCCAAACAAACCCAAATCTCTGTGCTCTTATTCTCCCAGCCAAGGAAAAGACAGCACAAAACATTCTCAGACAACAATTAAAAGCAAGTTTTGCCCTGAGGCCAACTTCTTCTAGTTAGCTACAAACAGAACAAAGGGGTGGGAAAAAAAAGAAACACCACCAAAAAACTGCCTCCTCACATTTGTTGAGACTTTCCGCTACAAATTGGGATTGGTTTGTTGGTTTTTATTTTTTTTTGTCTTCAAAAGAGCAACTTGGCAAAGGCAGAGCCCTGCTGCTGGGTGCTGAGGCTCCTCCCCGCGCAGCCTGTGAGCTCAGGAACCTGAACAGAAACTAAACTGAAGAGGGCAATGCTAGGGGGGACACAGACGGACGGACAAGGGACATTTTCCTTCTCCATCCTTCGGGATAACACACGTTCCTCCAGAAATCCCACTCCTGCCTTCACCTGGGAGCACACACCAGATTACAAGCCCCGCGTATGTATCCAGAGCACACATTGCCTCCGGGCACTTCCCTCTGCAATACTACCCACCCAGGGTAAATCCCTCGACTTTCTCCACTTTTACAAATACACGGTATCCCGTAGACGACTACTATTCACATCCTTTCTTCTCTCTTAGCTGCAAACATTAACGAAGAGAGCGCAACATTAAGATGTTCTTGGCACCAGGAGCATCCCCCATTGCAAAGGACAGTAAATACACAGGGAGAGCAGGCAGCGACATATGAAAGTGATGGACAGCCAAATTTCTGACAGGACAGCACATCCCCAGAGAGCCTACCAGAAAACATAGATACAGCTACGCAGTCTTGCTAAGAGGGGTTTGCTCTGGAGCATCCCTATAGACAGGAGAGAGCCCAGCTTAAACAGAGAGCAAGGATTCCTTTAAGGCAGCCACACGGTTCTGCTAGCAGGAGAAAGCAGGAAAGAAGAAGTAACTGCTCCCTAATCCAGCTTTTGAGCTGAGCTTTTTAAAAGCCTCCCTCCTTCCCCAAGTAGGATTTACCTTATATTTTGCTTTAAATTATGTGCTGAGCCGGGGTGCGAGGCGGAGAGGGGAGGAAAAGAAATCTCTGCTTTTCCCTTCTTATCCCACCCTTCCCAGGCTAATAAATTTTGATTATTTCCATGCTTTAAGAGAACCAACCTTCTGGTGAGCAGCCTGAGCCTCTGTAAGCTTCGCTGTCGGCCGGGACCCTGCACAGAGAGGCTCTGGAAAAGCTGAAACGAAACTTTTTCACTCTTGGAGATTCTTATTGGTAGTCAGCAGCGAGTAGGTCTGGGTGGGAGGTAACGAGAGGGGGAGGTCAGGAGCTGTGCCTTATTGCTGCCATCACAGGCTTCACACACACAGAGCACCTTTATTTTTCCCCCCTCTTCCTTTTCCCACAATTAAATCATAGCCCTCTTTTTATCTTTTTTAAAAAATGGTTGCATGTATATTGTCTTATTCCCTTAAAACTCTGCGCATGTGGTTGTTGTTTGGAGGAGAGCAGCTCTGAAGGATGTGAATTCCTCAGGACAGATGTTTTTCCAACATTTTTCCCCAAGGAAAAAGCATACTTCTCGGATCCCGAACCAGACTAAATGAAGAGCACCCCAGGGTGCTCAGATAAGGAGCATCAGCCCCAGATAAGGAGGCAGCAGGATGCGATGGTACCTTCGCTTTTAATCCTTTCCTCCATCTGCAGCAAGTTTGCTCCCTGCTCCTTATTAGGGATGCGTTTGACTTTTCATTTCTGAATTAGGAAATATACCCCATGCGGAGGCTTTCTACAAAAATTCAGCTGATTTCCAAAGTGCTTGTCACAAGCCACGTAGCCCAGCTACTCTAGAGCTAACTGAGCCCTTACCGTACATGCATCCATTTCCGACCATTGTGGTGGTCGGAGGCCGCCTTGGGCA